GCGACCAGTGGGCATATTTGCCGGTGGTATACTTAGTAGGTCATCATAACTTGATCAAGTTGTGAGCTGCTCATGTGTTTTCTGGGTGTTATATAGGAATAACGTGTCGCTGCCGACACTTGAGTTTGAATATAGATCGCCAGTGAGTAAGCACAGGCGATTCCATTATTGAATTAAGTGGATCAGGTGACCATGAAAAAAACGCATAAGTGGAAAGTAGCGTGACGTATAACTGATCGCTATTTCTAGTCTATCCTCTATTACTATACGGACCGCTATTCTCTACTCTATTCTCTATACTATTTCTCTATTCAGATCACTATGCGGAGTAATGGATAGCGGCTAGGATCGAGGAATCGGAGAGCCGATTTCGAATTCCAGTCGAATCCATTACATTCACTTACGTGCTATTACCCTTGGGAAAGGTATGAATCCTCTTCTTCTCCCACTAGCTATGGGCAAATAGCAGGACAGACAGGGTTCTATAGTCTTGGATGGTAGCTGGTCTACGGCAGAAAGTAGTGGCAACCAACTGTGGGAAGAAATGTACCTCATCAGTCATGTATCGAAAGATACATGATCGCCTAAGTGTGTATCCCACATGGCACATAATTGACTGATACGCTGGTTACTTATGGAGCGAGTATTATCGACCAAGTACTATTAGTGCGAGTGATATTCGAAGGTGTCTGACATTAGTATTGTTCAACGGTGTTACTATAAGTTGTATCTATGATTCCAAAGTTTCTACTACAACGAGCATTACGAAAGTGACAACGAGTATTTGTTGACATCACAAAACTGAAACAAAGAAAACTCTTAGAGAACATAAAGTAATGACTACAAAGTTGTTACAGTTCTTATTTTGGGATTCACTCTTTATTCGAGTTCTTTGCCTCTTTATTCGTCTTCTTTTGGGTTCTATTGTCGTCTTTGGTTGTTGCAATTAGCCTTTTCTTTCTCGGACTTTGAAGTTGTTTTGATGCACTACTCGATACTATCAAGCCCTCTTCGTACCTATTTTCTTTCCACATAGTTTCTGTCAACATCGTTTCTTGGTTGCAAAGCTTCATGCACTCATATCAGTTTTCTCGTTTTACGACTCAGATTGATTTCTATTCTTGCCCAGTTTAAGAAAGGCCCGGAGAATCTTACAATAGAAGTTGTCAAACTATTTTGATTAATTTTGTAATTTTAACTAGCCACGAACGTTCTGTTTATTTCTTGGTTCCTTAATTTGATTCCTTCTTTTGTTTGACATTTTCCTTTATTCAGCGAATTTCGTATTTCTCAATGCTAAACTCTATTCCAATGTCTCGGCTGTAGATCATGACAATTTATTTCAATTAGTTTTTGTTTCAAACCAGACTCTTGAAGACATCAGTCAACAGGATTTGATCCACCCTTTTCTTGCAACTTTGTGCATCTATAACTACCGTTGCATTTCCGTTCTTGCGAGGAATTCTAATATTTGATTACGTTTATTATAAAGTATGCTACTTTTGAGATTTTTAACATCTTCAGGCCTTTTATTATCCAGGGTTATGGAATAGTATTGCAACCTAAACTTTTTTCTAATATATTTATGCCAAGTTTATGATTTTATTTATTTAAAATTTTTTCAACATTTTTTTGATCGGTGAACAGCAAATAATTACTTTCTCTAGATTCCTTTCGGTATCCTTTCTCGGGAAGGAATTCTCGGCTTTCTAACACTAGGAGTTTTCTCGTTATATGTTAAGCAAGGCTTTTCCGCATTAACAGTACGCATGTTATTGGTCTGTACTTGGTACGAATTGTTTCTTTTTCTGTCTTTCTGAATGAAAATGGTTTTTATTCTTTCGACAAAGATGTCCGCTTTCTCCGTGGTTTTGGTTAACTATTGTGCTAATCTCTCATGTATAACCCTGAATCGCTAACCACAAGCTTGCTTCTTTACAGTTGGAGAATTATTACGGTCACAAATATTTTTTCAGTTTCTGACTCTTCTCCGATCTATTGTAGTCCACTTCTAATATAACCCACATCGACCTTTTCTCCTCTGTTAGCACAATTTGCTTCAGAAGCATTAGATTATTCTGCCTTGTCAGTAAAATCTATTTTCATTGTCTCTGAACATTCTATTTTGCTTCGATTCTTGAGCTTTGTTTTGGAATTTTTTCCTTAACAAATATCTTTTGATTAATTTCCTCTAATTGAGTTGATAATCTGAGCCCTGCCAATCTTTATCTTTACAAGAGTCAGATTAGACCACAAATGGAGTATTGCTGCCATGTCTTGGCTGGAAGCGCTCAATCCACAGTTTCTAGAATTGCAAGAGTTCAAAATCATTTACGCGGTCTTGTGTGGGATGACTGATTTTCCACTCTACAACCTCAATCGCCACAGACGCAAAGTTACAAATGTTAGGCTACTCTATCACTATTTCCATAGAAAATGTTAAAATGAGTTCCATTCTTTATATCTCAGACTCACCATCCACGGAGTCGGATCATCCACGTTTCCTTCGTATTCAAATGGTAAAAAGGGAGTTTCACTCAGAAATCTTTTCTTTTTTTTTTCACGAGAACTGCTACTTTTGGAATAAGCTTCTGCACGCATGGGTGCATCCCTGACAAATACAATCTGAGCCTGTTCAAAGCAAGGGTGGATCGCTATCTATCCTCCTTATCCTCATAATATTTACTTATTTCTACCCCGTCTTACATTCCTATTACATACCCCAGTCTACAGCTCTCTACTTAGAGTGACTCTTGCGCATTGTATTGCGTGAACTTTAGTAAAAATAAATCATTTGAACCTTACTGGATGCCTAACACTTGTGGTATTTCGGGCACCTTGACTAGAGCCATTACGAAGTTAAACACGCTAGATTGTTAGCTACGGTGGTGAGTTTGACACTCACGAGTGCTCCGCTTTTATGATTCTGTGCCAGGCGAAACTAAAATGTTAGAAAAGAAAAGTGTCTAGCGTTTTCATTTCTTTTATTCTGTGGTCCGCGAGTATAGTGAAATCCAATGACACGGTTTTTCTTTTCTCTTTGCACATAACAACAATCCAGCTCCCATACCCTGGAGTGGGGCTATTCGTTTGAATCTCAAACGTTCCAGGGAAATCTATATTCTCAATTCTCTAAGATTATGCTTTTGTTTGTTTGTTTTTTTTTTTTAACGGCATATCAAATCTTTATGTGTCATTTAATGCCAAAATTTAATTTTCTTGGAGCTTTGAAGTAATATAAATATATGTTATTCTGCTTTCACAATTGAATACATGGTAGATGATACTCAGATTTTGTTCATATCCATGTTTATGCGGGCATAATAACTAGAGGCGGTGATAAGTGTGTTTCATGCTGTAGTTTTGTTGTTTTATTTTGGAAAACAGTTTGATTTCTTTCTATGGACTATTTAATGTCGAAATCTAAATATTTTGAACATTATTTTATGACTTCAATTAAATATATTTTAAACACTATTTTATGGCTTCAATTAAATATATTTTGAACACTATTTTATGGCTTCAATTAAATACATTTTGATCACTATTTTATGGCTTCAATAAAATATATTTTGAACACTATTTTATGACTTCATTTAACTATATCTTGAACACTATTTTATTGCTTCAATTAAGTATATTTTAAACACTATTTTGTGGCTTTTACTAAATATATTTTGAACCCTATTTTATGGCTTCAATTAAATATATTTCAAACACTGTTTCATGGCTTCAATTAAATATCTTTTGAAGACTATTTTATGGCTTCAATTAAATATATTTTAAACAGAATTTTATGCCTCCAATTACGGCTAAAGTGTATTGTTGGTCATTTTACTATAAACATGTATTTTGGTAATTTTTTACAGAAATATTTTCAAATAATAATGTCTTTTCCTACTTTCATAGTGGTTTGTATTTGTCTGTGGGTTTTCTATTTGTTCTTAGCTGAATCCCTAACAGGTGCTACAATCTTCGGATCACGGTGGATCTGGAAACAATAACAATTAAGTGTTGTCCCCACGTTCCTCAAAACTTTCAATCCCTCGAGCAGTTTATAGTCATACCCAGTGCTATATGGTTTTGTACATTGACGAGTATAATTGAATCAGTTTCGTTTTGAATTCAGGTAGCTCAAAATATTTGTATCCGTTATCAATAACACATTTCAAAAAACATATTTCGATTCGCATTATATTTTTTCGTCTCGGATGCTACCAGGTTTCTACCAAAAACAAAATAATTCCCATGCCTGAAGATGACTGAATGTACAGTCGGAAGTACTTGCGTATTTAAGAAAGGCCTTATACAGGATATAATTTTAAAAAGCAAGGATCATAAGATTCATCGAGTGATTGGTAGGTTAATGTACCTTTAAAATTTTGTTAGCGAAGCGATTTCACCATTTTATTTCATTAACTTTACTAATTTACTTTTTGTATGAATGGTTCATTGTAATATAAATTGAACTGTAGCATATATTTGATATATATACATATATATATATATTTATACATTACTATATATATATATATATATATATATATATATATATATATATATATATTTTATATATTACTATGTGTATATTACTATATATATATTACTTTATATATTACTATATGTATATTACTATATATATATATATATATATATATATTACTTTATATATTACTATATATTTATTGCGGTTATTTATGAAATATTAATATATTTTATTATAATATTCATTGCAGCGTATTTGTTTTATCCTATTTTTTGTCTTAACATGTTTAAACTTATAAATCATCTTAGGCCATCTTAAAAATTAAATTTTATTTTTTACTTTCTTAATGAATAACATGTTCCGATATTCTGATGCAAGTACAATTAATCCATTCATATGTTCGATTTATTTTATGAGAAGACAAGTCAACGCATCGAGATGAACTTTGTTTCACTTTCTCGATACTGAAGCACTTTTTAGTCACCGCATTCGCACAAGCTTTTTCGACGTCCTGATGTTATTTTATTCGATTCGTTTCTGTTTTTGCGCATTACGAAAACTAGAAATCCAATTAAGAATCCATTATGGCAAAATCGGTGCTTTTCCCGCGTCTTTTCCCAAATCAGGTAGAGAGCAGACGATGCAGTGTGCCTATTTTTCAATATGTTTCTTTCTCTTTATTTTTGTTTCATAATTGGCTTTTGCAAAATAGAATTACCAAACAAAAAATGTTTTAACTTGTTTCGTAGAGATTTCTATATATTTTATAAGAAATTGTTGCTTCTTCTATGTAAGTTATGGCTTCCGTTTTCCTTTTCCACTTTTTGTAAATGTTTCCTAAACTAGAAGACATATGCCTTTTATGAGAATGTTTTAAATATTAAATGTTTGATATGAAATATCCAAAGAAAGCAAGGTGGAATACTACAGTTTGATATTTATTTGTTAGTTTTTTTTTGTTCACGTTTCTCTCTTTACAAACATACACGTAAACAACTGAAAAATCAAAGAAAAATCGATATTATAGCATCTCTACTACTTAAAATACTGGGATTAATTAAAAAAAGAACTAATACAATTAAAAAATAAATATCTATGAACAAAAAAGGAAATTTGTACATAGGAAAGACGTAAAAACATCATGTAAATATGATGATTTGAAAGAGGAATAAAAGAAATAAATGGAAGTTATAGGAGGAAAAATAAACCGCGTATAACTAAAGAAAATAGTGAATACCTATAATTAAAATAATTTTATGAAATATATTATTCTGTCATGAAGGAAAGTATAGAATTTAATTAAACTTTATTCATATGCTCGACCAGTATGTATTTTCTATATATTTTTTGTTTAATATTATGATTTTTCTTTAGCCAATACAAGACCTAAAATCGACTTAAGATTGAGAACTACTGAATGAACTCAAAGTAGATAACGTTTGACTCTAAACATGTAGATTTCAAATGCCCTTCTGAGCTATTACGACAATCACCAGTAGAGTGTGTAGAACCATGGACCTACAGTCACATAACCAAACACATAAGATGTGACAACATCACACTGAGCATCACACTGAGCATCACACTGAGCATCAGTGATTTTACACCTGAAATGGAATTGGACCGGAAGTTTTTTTTTTAATCGAATTCACTCCAAGCAAGGTAGAAAAGCCTCTAAGACACAAAGGGTTGCTGGGTGTAATAAAAATAGAAAACAGAAGCATTATTGAGGAGCGAGAACAATAGAAGAGTAATCCGGAAGACAGCAGATCATGACTGGCGTTGCATTTAAGTTTTTAAAGATCAAAATTGGCTGGAAAACATGGCGCTAGAATAGTGTTCCAAAAGCGAGAAGTGCGAGAAAAACAACTGTTAGCATAGAACCAATGGTTACATCTAGCCAACTCAAATGTCAATTGATGAGACATTGTTGCCAGTTTAGTATAGCGATTAAATTCATAAAGTCTAGGTACCATAGCGAAGAGCGATATTTATTTGTAACTAGCAGTAGATCCCGGCGTTGCCCGGGAATATAACAGTAAGAGATAGATCAAGTATTCACCATCATAAAGACTGAAAAATAAAATTGACAAAGATTATTGTTTAAGGTTGACTGACACGCATGTCTTTTTTTTTTTTTACGAATTGGTCAAACCCAAACTCAAACAAAAACATTGTTTTCAATCGTTATGAGTCTATCGATTGAATAGAATTTTATTATAAACAATTGTCTTGTAAATGGAATTTTTAAAGCATTCTGAATGTAAAAATAAAGAAAAAAGTGTGCAAGACAATAAGAAACACTACATGCCAAAAAAAAAAAAAGTGAAGTTTTGTTGAAATCGATTGAAAAATGTAGGTAGCCTTTCTGTAATCTTTTAGTTTTACAATTTATGATTTTTACTTATTGAATACAGTAATAAAATTGCATATTTTGCTTGTGGTGATTCATAATTAGAATTCTGATTTGAATATATTTTCCACTCGTTGTTTCTAATACAAAAAATATTAACTTTATTTTGGGTTTATTAATTATGATCTAACAAATCTTATTCATTTAGTAGCCTTTCTGTAATAATAATCTTTTACAATTTATGATTTTTACTTATTGAATACAGTAAAAAAATTGGACACCATGTGTATTTAAAGTAGTTTCCCGTTCCGGTTATTATTTTTAGTTAGGACTTCTTGTGTATGTTTAGATTTCATTATCTTTCCCTAAAGATAAAGAATTTATCCGATGTTTGTATTCGTACAATCAGTAGAGATCGTTAGATTATTGTTTAAGATTGACGGACAGGCATGTCTTAATTAGTTTTTGTTTTTTTTTATTTTTTACGAATTGGTCAAACTCAAACAAAAACATTGTTTTCAATCGTTATGAGTCTCCAAATTGAATAGAATTTTATTATAAATAATTGTCTTGTAAATGGAATTTTTAAAGCATTCTGAATGTTAAAAATAAAGAAAAAAGTGTGCAAGAGAATAAGAAACACTACCTGCCAAAAAAAAAAAAAGTGAAGTTTTGTTTTATCGGCATTTATCGAAATGATACGATATTTCTTCTTCTTCTTTTTCTTCTTTTTCTTCTTCTTCTTCTTCTTCTTCTTCTTCTTCTACTACTACTAATAATAATGTAATTTACTAAGGTAATATATGCCAGTTCGTGTAATTATTGAAGAGTTTTTCAGTTGTATCATTACAGGAACAAATCTGGGGTAAACATATTCCATTTCTCCGATTCAACTTAAGTAGAGAGAATTGAATGTCTTCATTTATTTGAGTGGTTTATAAGGGTTTATCTTCTATCCATACAATCAACATTTGTTTATATATTAGATAGCGATGAACCTTTAGTTATAATCTATCTATCTATCTATCTATCTATCTATCTATCTATCTATCTATCTATCTATCCCAGTTGTATGTCTATCATACTTTACAATGAAAATAAGATGTCGCCTCGAAATAAAGGAATTGATCAGCCTGTCAGATTAGCAGCTGAAAGTTATATGGCTCCTATTATTTGAGTATTTCAATTTATTTAGAAATAGTCGAAAAAGAAAATATTTTTATTTCCCGATGTTTAATAAACAGGAGAAACATTCCAACAAAGTATCTTATAAATCAAGAAATTGTAAATGCCAAGTGAAAGTGGATCATCAGATGTCATTGAAAACGAGAAAATCATATCATGTATTATTATGTCTAAAATAATTAAGTGTGCAAACCCCAGATCGCGTTATCGGGTTAATGCATCAGATTAAATTGCTACTGTTAAATAGAATTCTATTATCATTTTCCCTAATATTGAATTCGTCAGAAGCCAACTTCTGGGCTTAGGGTCACAGCCAAGAAGAAAGACCGTGGACAAATAACTAAATAAACAAAACATGGTGAGAATTCGTCTTAGACCTCGATACCCAAATGGAATAAAAATAAAAGCATTCCTATCTCGTTTGTTCTGTTTGTCGAGCGAAAAGCACATGCCTTATTTCCAAAACACGATACTGAAGCGAGCAGTACGAAGACTAGTGGATTATATATTTATCCAGAAATTGGAAGCACCGTAATAATAATCATAATATTTAGATTAGATACGCCTCTGCCGGTCATCAATGACCATGGATTTATATGGTAGGAAAGTTGCTGATGGATCCAAAGGAACAGAAAGGTCATTACAGTTTGGCTCCAGCGCCGACGCAGGAGCTGCCAGAACGAGGCTGAAATCAGCGACCAACTGCCTTAGGGGCTTCAACTCCGAATTTTTAGTTGTATAGTATGTGTTACGCCAGGGCTATATACAGTTTTGAATTCAGTTACTTTCTCCTAGACCGGTTGCCACCCATGGCTATAGAACCCAGTCTGAAGAAGAGGATTCATACCTTTTCCAAGGGTATTAGCACGTAAGTGAATGTAATTGACCCGACTGGAATTCGAACTAAGTTCTTTGATTCCTCAATCCAGGTTGCTATTCATTACAGAAAATGTGGTTCTACAGAAGGATGCTGAGGATACAATGGGCCTGAACATGTAAACAAAGTTTGGCGAAAATGGAAACAAAACCGTGCCTTATGGTAATATTAGCTGTTTCCTTATAAGGAAATATTCGGCATTCATTAACTGAGCAGTCAGTGCTTCGGTAGGTTGACATTTATAAAAAAAAATCTCTAAAATAGTTTTTCAGGAAAATAACTCTTTCAAGTCCGGTAACTACTGATGCTTTTTCCAGTAATGATAGTGTTTTCCTTCCTAACCTTTTGTTTAAAGTGGTGTGGAACTGCAACATCTAGATTTTGTTATTTTCTTTTCAAGTTACATGTGCTATCCATTTTATTTGTTGCTGATGTTGAAAGTCCTCAGGTGATGTGGTTTTTGTCATTTGGTGCAAGTCTTTTTGATTCTGTAACACTAAGCCATGAGATTCAAAGAAGTAATGTCTTCACTAAGACCTTTTAGATTTTTTCGCTCGAAACTTTTTAACCATCCATTGTAGAAAGCGGTTGTCGATATTTCTGGATGAGTTTCACGCATGCAAGATATTCTCTATGAAAGTTTCGATCTGACAAGATTATTTAAGAACAATACTCAAGTTTTTAGGTCAGTTATTTGGTTGTGTAGCAGGAATCCGAAGGTGTATTAGGATAGCCAAAAAAGCTAAGCTGTGTACTAAGAAATAGAAAAAAAGTCACTGGAAACAAGGAAAAAAGTGCTGAACTGCTACGTGATATTTGTCCTCCTATATGGCAGTAAATGCTGGGCGATCTTCTCAAAGATGAAGAGGAGACTTGAAGCAACAGAAATGTGGTTCTACAAAAGGATGCTGAGGATACAATGCACCTGAACATGAGAGTAACGACGAAGGTTTGGAGAAAATAGAAACAAAACGGAAACTAATACTTAACATCAGGAAGTGACAGTTGAGGTTTCTGAGACACATAATGAGGAAGGAGGGCTTGGAAAATCTGATACTCACAGAACAGAAGGCAAGAGGGAAGGAAGATAGAAACGCGTAACATACTTGGTAAGCTTCAGTAAAGAAAATGGATAGCGGAACAGGGATTTTGAGAAATAAAAAAAGAAAAGGCTTAAGAGTCACAAGTGACAGGATGTTGTGGAGAGCCTTGATCGCCTCCATCCTTAGTGGACACGGCACATAGAGAAGAAAAAGCAGCTTGTAGTTTTGGGCGACACTACTTGTAATATAGCCTATTTTATGTTCAATTTCCTTACCTCCTATACTAAATCTGTTGTAACTCATCCATACACAAAGGATTTTGAAGTGCTTCTTTTACATGGGAACTCCTCGCCCTCTTCTCTCTCTCTCTCTCTCTTTTCTTTGTTGGTTCAAATGAATTATGTATTCCTTTCGGAACAGACTCCCGGTGGGTTGTTTTCCCTAACACTACAATCTTGACCCCTCATGTCTAGGAGTAACCGTTAGCTATGAACTTCACTTCTAGTCTTTTCTTACGCTTATACGACAACACACAGTAAACCTCTAGTAGCTATTAGGCCTTGTACTGGGGGAACATTAGCATAAAAACATAATTCAGCAGTCTTTTCTTTGTTTGTAACAAAAGATTTCTGTTTCTTAGTACTTTGTTTAGCTTCTAGAAGGCATCTTTCGCGATTACAATGCTTCTTCATTTTCTAGATAGCTTCTGGTATACGCCAATGTTGGTAATAGACCAACTGCGGCTTTGTTTATTGAATAAAATAATGAAAATGGTAAAAAAATATGTAATATATTCTGTATATGGTGTCGTTTCTTTTGGTAATAGTAATGGGGAGATTAATGGTTTCCATATAGAAAGCATTCTGCATTCCTTGACCAATTAGTCTTACTGTCGGTTAAAATTTATAAAATTTCCTGAAAGCAGTTTTTCAGTAAATTACATTTCTCAAGTTCGTTATATTGTCTGGAAGTTTCCTTTTATTGAATGGAGTTTCCTTTGAAACATTTTGATTTTGGTCGCACGGAAAGCAACCTCTTCTTATGTCATTATTTTTCTTTCTAGTTTTCTATCCTAAACATCAACTGTGAGAAGACAGAAAGAATGGGCGTTAGCAAAAGGAACAGCCCAACATGCAAATTACAAATTGCGGAAACTAAAATCAAGCAATTACAAGAAATTAAATATCTGGGAAGTGTTCTAACAGACGATGGAAAAGTGCAACATCAAAATCAGAAGACACATTAGGATAGCGAAAAATGATGCCTTCCAAAAGCTAAGCAAAATATTAAGAAATTGGAAAATTATTACGTAATATCAGTGATGAAGAAAGTACTTGAAGCGACAGAAGCGTGGTTCTACAAAAGGATGCTTAGAATATCACGGACCGAACATGTGGGAAACATGTTTTACAGAAAATGGAAACAGAAAGGATACTTATACTTAACATCAGGAAGAGACAGATGAAATTTTGAGGACATATAATGAGTATAGAGGGGTTGGAAAATTTGATATTCGCAGGACATATTGAAGGCAAGATGAGTAGAAGAAAACAACTCATAGCGAGCTAGAGTAAATAGATGGCCGTACAGGGTTTACGGAAAGATAATAAAAAGTCAAAATTTATTAAAAGCTACGAAGGACAGGAAATTGTGGAGGGCCATGATCGCCTGCGTCATGAAGAGATACGGCACATAGAAGAGTGTGCTCCATATGAGAGTCTAGATCTAACGAGGCCATTTAAAATATTACTCTAGATATAAGATTATTTTTGTAGCATCTTAAGATATTGGACAAAAGCACCGACAGTGTAACTTAACCTGTGTTCAATTTCCTTATCTCTTGTTTGCTTATCTTTTGTTTCCTTATCACTTTTTTCCTTATCTCTTGTTTCCTTATCTCTTGTTTCCTCAATATCTTGTTTCCCCGTCAATTGTTTCATAATCTCTTGTTTCCCCGTCAATTGTTTCCTTATCTCCTGTTTCCTTATCTCCTGTTTCTTTATCTACCTGTTTCTTTGTCACTTGTTTCATTATCTCTTGTTTCCCAGTCAATTGTTTCCTTATATCTTGTTTCCTTATCTCGTGTTTCTTTATCTCTTGTTTCTTCATCTCTTGTTTCCCCGTCAATTGTTTCCTTATCTCTTGTTTCTTTATCTCTTGTTTCCTTATCTCGTGTTTCTTTATCTCTTGTTTCTTCATCTCTTGTTTCCCCGTCAATTGTTTCCTTACCTCTTGTTTCCTTATCTCTTGTTTCTTTGTCTCTCGTTTCATTATTTCTTGTTTCTTCATCTCTTGTTTCCCCGTTTCATTATCTCTTGTTTCCCTGTCAACTATTTCCTTATCTCTTGTTTCTTTGTCTCTTGTTTCATTATCTCTTGTTTCATTATCTCTTATTTCTTCATCTCTTGTTTCCCCGTCAATTGTTTCCTTATCTCTTGTTTCCTTATCTCTTGTTTCTTTGTCTCTTGTTTCAGTATCTCTTGTTTCTTTGTCTCTTGTTTCATTATATCTTGTTTCCCCGTCAATTGTTTCCTTATCTCCTGTTTCTTTGTCTCTTGTTTCATTATCTCTTGTTTCCCCGTCAATTGTTTCCTTATATCTTGTTTCTTTGTCTCTTGTTTCATTATCTCTTGTTTTCTTTATCTCTTGTTTCTTCATCTCTTGTTTCATTATATCTTGTTTCCCTGTCAACTGTTTCCTTATCTCTTGTTTCTTTGTCTCTTGTTTCCTTATCTCGTGTTTCTTTATCTCTTGTTTCTTCATCTCTTGTTTCCCCGTCAATTGTTTCCTTACCTCTTGTTTCCTTATCTCTTGTTTCTTTGTCTCTCGTTTCATTATTTCTTGTTTCTTCATCTCTTGTTTCCCCGTTTCATTATATCTTGTTTCCCTGTAAACTGTTTCATTATCTCTTGTTTCTTTGTCTCTTGTTTCCTTATCTTTTGTTTTCTTTGCTTTTGTCTCTTTATATCTTTTTTTTTCCTCGTGTCTTGTTTTCTTGCTTCTTCTTTATAACTGATCACCGATATATTTGAAGTGTTTAGAATTTATCAATTCCACATTCTGAATTGTTATGATGAATTCTTGCTAGGTGCTGTTACTACTGTCATTCAAATTCTAAATCACAGTTTCTGTTTTAGAAAGTTTTAACTAAAGTCCTATTTCTGCGCACACTTGTTTAAATTTTTGAAACAAATTATAACGTGACTCAGATGCAAAATGGTTTAGTGCAGTTAATCGAAAAGGTTGTGTGAGTAATTAAATCAGTCAAAAGAAATTAATGCAACATGCGTAGGATTTTATACATGTATGTTTTTTTTATAAAGAACAACATAGTTTACAAAAGAAGAGAAAATGATAATCACGTGTATACAGATATTTATAAAAAACGAAGAAAGAAAAAAAGGCAAACTTAAACCTTCGTGACAGAAAAAAAACGGAGCTTAAAAAGGAATTTTTTTCATAGACACTGCTTTTATTTTATCTGTATTCACTTCTTGGTAATGTTTACTGTTTTAAAAAGAAATGATTAGAATTGAAATAAAACCTAAACATATGAAAGTATATTTATACATTTTCTTTGTTTTGGAGAATTGACAAGAATAATAGACACCATTTATTTATTAGATTGTTTATTAAAATGGTTGACAAAACATCGGCTAATTGCCAATTGATTAGAACTTTATAAACTGGTAAATACCAAGGATTTCTTTATAGTTGGTTCACATATTTTAATAATTTAGTAAATGTTTATAAATAAAAATTGTTTTCATATTTCTTCCTTTATAAAGTGGTGAATGAAAACTAAATGATGTTAGGAGGAGCGGTGGAGTAATGGATAACGGCTCGGATTGAGGAATCGGAGAGCCGAGTTCGAATTCCATTACATTCACTTACGTGCTAACACCCTTGGGAAAGATTTGAATCCTCTTATTCGCCCTCCACCACCAGCTATGGGTAACTAGCAAGATAGACCGGGTATATCCTTGAATAGAAACTGGTCTATCGCAGAAAGAAATGGAAACATACTGCGGGAAAATTCTGCCTCGTCAGTCAGGTATCGAAAGATACATGATCGCCTAAGAGTGTATCACGCATGGCACATAACTGGCTGAAATGATAAATATTGCATTGCATTAATTTTTAGAATAATGTAAATATAAAATTCTTGCAATTAAACAATCTAATAAATAAAGTGTTTAATATTTTTGTTGTAAATTTTAAAGAACAAAAAATTAATAAATTCGATTTTATCGTTACATTTTAATACAAAAAACCGAGGGGGTGATGGTAGTTAAAATAATAGCTGTGTCAATGAAAAAATCGTCTTTCGACACATTTTTTATTGAAGGGAAGAAAGGTCCAAGTTTGCTAAAAAAACAAAAACAAAAAAAACAAACATGTGAGTGCGACATATTCTTGGGTTGAAATCAAGGAATCAGCCGGTACAGGGAGTGTCTCATATGAGGTTACTACTATATTCTAGAGGAAAAAAATGCAAGTATCCTTTACTATCATAATGCTGACTGTCACGCCACCTAGTTGTGTTAAGCGAAGTTCATTGTTAGACAAGGTAGAATAACCCCACAAAGTTTCCTATGTATGGATTTTAAAAATATGGATGAAATCCGATAGAAAGATTAAATAAAGGACAAATAGGAAAACATTAATAAATTTAGCATGTTTCGCCAGTCTTATTGTAGCTTCTTGGTATATTTAGGGTCACGGAAATACATTAAATGAGAATATTTCAGTATTTCGAATCCTATGCCGTTTGTTTTCATTGGTCGGATTGATATTATGTGTTCATATTTTGTGGTATTAACGTGTGTGTGTGTGTGTGTGTGTGTTTGAATTCTAGTGGGCGTGTTTATAAAATATTTTTGTATATCTCGTAGTGTCTCTGTGTGTGTAACTCCGTGAGAAGAAATGGGAAGTATGTGGATGTGTGTGTATCAAATATTCAGGTGGCCGTGCGGTGACTGCCGACAGAATCGCGCCGTGTGTCAACTGCGGATTAAATTCATGTTATACTAATTTTGGAATAAATCTTATTAATATTATGATTATTTTTATTATTGAGTAAAATTCGTGGGTATTGGGAATTATTTGGTGTGTAAGGAGAATGGATATATTGGCGTGGGTTGGATTATATTTTTTCTTTTTCATTCTTCTTCTTATTATTATTATTGGTGTGTAATTAGAATTGGTATATTGGCGTGTGTTGAATTATATTTTTTCTTCATTTTCATTCTTATTCTTTTACATTCTTCTTCTTTTATTATTATTTTTTATTTTCTTTGATTTCTGGCGTTTACACATTTCTTTCCGGGTCCCGCCCAGGGACCTAAGGTTAGAGATGGCATCATGACACTTTCCACTGACAAATTAAAAAAAAAATTACATAGATAAAACCCTTCGTAAAGTGTGGGCTGTACTTGTCAGAACAATTTTTTGTATCTCTTTGAGGCATGGACTTCCAGGAATCCCTTCAATTAGTCTACTGTAATCTTTTCCAACCAATCATAGGGCTCTAACTACAACAGGTATTGTTGATGTTCCCAAATGCCACATTTCTGCGATTTCTATTTCAAGGTCCTTGTATTTTGACAGCTTTTCGAATATCTTCAAAGATACATTGCAGTCTGCAGGGACTGCCATATCAATAAGGAGGCACTTTTTTTTGCTTGTGTTTTTTAATTACAATGTTTGGGAGGTTGGCTTTGATTGTTCTGTCAGTGTGTATTGTGTAGTCCCATAGAATTGTAACAGGTCCTATCTCCATAACCGGGTTTGAGTGGTGTTTCTTTCAGTTTCCGTCCCGTAGAAGCATATTTTCCAGTGCAGATATTGGCCCACTCTGTCATGCCGGATTTTATATTCAGTTGGTGCCAATATCGTGCAACCTGATACAAGATGATCAATCGTTTCTGGATATTTACCACAGAATCTGCACTTTGGGCTAACAGAATATATTAATATATGTGCTTGATAATTCCTAATTAACTAGCGTACCTGTGCAGCCAGGATAAAACCTTCAGTTTCAGCTTTCAACCCTGCACTACGTAGCCACTGATGGGTACGGTTTATTATTATTATTATTATTATTATTATTATTATTATTATTATTATTATTCGTGTGAATGTGGGTATGCGTTCAGGTGCATTTACGTGTGCATAAATATGAAAGCGGGTTTCAAAATCTGATAACGTGACCAAAAGTCAGAATTCTTTAAAAATTACTTTGTTGGGTCAATAACTTTTAAGCATTGTTATAACTATAAATATAATACTAATAATATTTATATTTTTATCTTTCTAAACTTATTTATTATCCAATAGAAAACAAAAGTTAGTTCCGACTTGATTTGTTCAAGTGAATATCAACTGATCTGTTAAACGCATTGTATATCCAAACTGAAAATTTTACTTGGAAATAACAGAAAACTGTCACATGACCGAATTCAAATATTTATTTGTTAATCAAATTTATGTAAGTTTCATGGCATTTTGCAGCTTCTAAACGTACATAAAAGAGACAGAAAAACGTTTTCAGGCCAGTTGCAAATCTAGTACTAAACGTGTGACAGTTTACGTTTGTCCGCAGCCAAATAGTCACCAGATATTCCCGTGAACCTTACCTTACCAAAAACCATGGAAGTAAGTTGACTAGCTGTATTCTATCTTCACTTTCTATCTTCACTTCTTACATACGAAATTAACATTTTTTTTCCACGGCTTATATACATAAAAATTAATATTTATCATTTGCCGCTGAAACCTGAATACATAACTGTAGTTTTAAATCCTATTCACAAATTTGAAAACGGACTTTCTCAATTCTACTTGACGAAACAAAATTCGACAACAGACTTTAAATTTCATTCATTATTTGAACAGGTTTACTCATTCAAAAATATTTTTTTCTTTTCAACATTTTCATTTTAGAAATATTACGATATTCGGAAAGTAATTATGCTTTACCACAAAGGATATAAAACAAATGTAAATTAAATTTATTTAAATATTCTTTAAAAATATAATCACCTTTATTTCCAACAATTGTAGCTCAACGGTAAAATAAATTTTCAATTCCCCATTTAAAGAAATATGTTGTTTCTTTCTAAATGTTTGTAAAAGTGTTTTCGCCTTTTTTGTTTCTGGATGTCCTGCCACTTATGAAATGTACTATGGATCGAAACAAATAACTAATTTTTTAGGATTTAATTCTGGTGAGTATCGAGGTGTCTTAACAATCTTCTTTTTCTTTAGGTTTGTTTTGTCTTAGATCCTCGGGCTAGAGAATAATACCTTTAATGTTTACCAAAGCAGGAGACTTTCGGTGTAATGTACCGTTTATCTGATCAAGTTACTGGTAATAAAAAAACTACGCTGATTGCCCATTCATGTTCCAGAGCTTGTAATGGACTACACATTCCACATTCTCCCAAGGACAAACAAAGGACTTCTATGAATGGAATCCTGGTTTAGGTGTTAGCACAAGTTTTACATTTTGTGATAACTGCTGTATTTTTCGTTTTCTGTTAACTCTCAAAATCCATCTTTCAACACATGCAATAATGCAATGCAGAAAAAGATTGGAATTCCTGGTTAAAAGACTGCTGCAAATGGTGGATGTTTTTGTTTGGTTTTCAAACGAAAGCAAATGAAATAGCCAAATACTCTCTTTGCAAGTTTTCCCAATAAAACTCTGAAATGTATTATAAATGACACTGTCAGATAAAAAAAAATAATTTTAATCGTAGCTTCTGACGATCCAAACTTGGTTCTTTGCTTCAAAATTCATAGTAGTAAAATACAGTATTACTTTCTGAACACCCTCAAACTTGGACTTTTAATCATTGTGACTCAAAAGAAAATTATTAAATTTGTTTTTCCTACAGATTTAATAACCTTCTTTACTTTACCTTTTATTTAATAACCTTCTTTACTTTACCTTTTATATAAAATCTTATTTTGTCTGTTACAACGACTTATTATTATTTTGGTATATTGTGTTGTGTTCTTTTTTAAA